CCAGCCACCTCCTCAAAGCATTTCAGTGCCTTCCTAGTGCCCTTAAGATAAAGACCAAAACGCTGACCATGAAGGACACGGCCCGGCACACTCTGCCTCTCCTGTGTCCTCAGCTCCCGTCTTGCTGGCCTTTCAGTTCCTTAGCCTGCCAGCCACCTCCTCAAAGCATTTCAGTGCCTTCCTAGTGCCCTTAAGATAAAGACCAAAATGCTGACCATGAAGGACACGGCCCGGCACACTCTGCCTCTCCTGTGTCCTCAGCTCCCGTCTTGCTGGCCGTTCAGTTCCTTAGCTGGGCCTTGCACCTCCTCATAAAGAGCCTCTCGCACACTCCGCCCCTGCCTGGGTTCTTCCCTGCGCCCGGTCCTCCACCCTCCACCCAGCAACTCCTCCTCATCCTGCAGATGTGGCTCCAGGCTTCTACACCTGGAGAAGCATTTTCTGTCTCCTGGTAAATGTTGAATCTTCCTCCTAAATACGTTCTCAGAGGTGAAGTCCCTTTCCTCTGTAGTACTTACCCAGTTATGGCTGCAAACACATTTCTGTGGTCTTCTGATTGACATCTGTCTCCCCAGCGATCTGTGGGTGGCCTGAGGGAAGGGATCCTGCCCAACCCCACTCACCCCTGGGTCCATGTGGCCCAACAAATATTTCATGGCATGAGTAAATGTGGTAAAGCCATCTGACAGCCTGGCACATTAAGATGCGTGTTTACAGATTTTTTCCCTACCCTGTTAGTTGGTCAAACGGGATCCTATTACTTGTTAAATGGAATATGTCAGCTCTGAGCCAACTGCATTTGGTGCAGGAGGAAAACGTACCGGCTCCCACCTTGGAAGTGATTTCTACACATGGAAGTGAGGAGTCTGAGAAGAGGTCACAGCAGACGCAGGACAGCGGAACCCTTACAGAGGAGTCACCTACAGCTCAGGAGTTAGCTGCTCTCTGTAGACCTTGGTCTTTAGCAACATAATGTCAGTTTCAGATCATCCCAATTTGCAGCGTATTTTTAATTGCATTAGGTTTTTTCTCCCCTGGAGCAGCGGGAAGCCCGCAGGGACTGCCACCACTCAGTCACCCCTGCCCCCACCCCCAAATTTATCTATTGCTTTGATTATGGAAACCAGCAAGAAAGTGCTTCACTAGTTAATTTGAATCAACACTTAGTATAAGATTTGGAACTTTTACTTGTATTTTCCAGGGGCTTGCAAACTTTTTGTATAAAGGGCAGATTGTAAATATTTTAGGCTGGGGGTGGGACAGGGACATGTACCCTTCCTCATCTTTACGGCACCACTTGGCCCTGACTCTGCCCTTGTCCCAGAAGTTGCTACAACTGCTCTTCACTCACCGCCTTACCCCCACACCACCTTACACCCCAGCAGACCGATCTTCCTAATGCAATTATGTGAGGCCCTATCGTCCCACCCAAATTCCACCTTGCTGCCTGTTGGGCAAAGTCACGTCCCCAGATGGGACATTCGCATCCACTGTCCAAACCTTTCCACCTGGAGGTCTCTTCCCTGTCCCTTTCTCTTTTCTTCTCACCTGTTCACAGCATTCCCTTCGAAGACCACCCAGTGTCCTGCTCTCTGCCCTGCTGGCAGTTTCCCACCTTCCCTCAACGCCAGGCTCGTCAATCCCCACCCCACACCACTCCTGACGCCTTCCATGGGGCTGCTGGCATGGCGCTGGCCCTGTGCCTTGTGCTCCCAGCTGGCTGCAAACCGTGACACACAGAGAACTTATATTCCTTCTGCATCCCCCTCAAGATAGGCAGGTTCCCTGTCCCATGGCATTTCCTGTGCAGGAAATGCCATGGGACAGGGAATGATGGACTCATTCTTTGGTTCTGAGAGGGCTGGCCACCGTGTGGTTGTGCTTGAGGTTTAGATAAGAGGTCCCCCCTCTACAAAAGTAGACAAAATCCTGAAATTCAACTCAGTGTTCTCCAAAACAGGGTGCTCAATATTAGCCATTTAGGGGAGGGAGAAAATTCTATTCATATATATTTTTTATAGACATAAAAAAGAAGTTAAACAAAACTAATATGAGGATACTTCAAAAAGTTCGTGGACAAGTAAAATTAAAAGATGATACAAATATTTCCATGAACTTTTTGAAGTTCCCTTGTTATTTCATAAGCAGGCTGAGCCCAACATGTTCTCGGGACGTGTTTCAGCCAAAGCAGAGCTTTGTGGGGCCTGGTGCATACACACTTCTGGGGATCCTGTTTAACAAAAATAATTCAAAATAAGTTATGAAAGTGAATATTTATTACGAGTTTGAAAAAAATCCCATATTGTAATTTAAAAAAAAAAAACAACAAACAGCATGAACATTCCTGAGCCCACATCCATGTGGGTACGTGCTAGGACTTTCCCAGGGCAGGCCTGGGGCTCAGGCTTCCAGCGTGGCCTGCATGCTAAGTGAAGAGTCCTGAGAACACCCTGTGGGGTAGACGGTGCTCACAGCCTGGGCTCCAGCTCCCTGGGACAAGGGAGTCTATGTGTGAGATCACGTGTGTACACAGGTTGACAATGATGCAAAAACAGTGAGCCCCTGGGAGTGGGCAGCGGGCATCCCACCCACCTGGAGCAAGTGCTTGGTCAGCTCACGAGCAGCTGTGCTGACACGATCATCTAGAGAGAGCTGAGTCAGAACAGAACAAGAAAAAGAAATGGCAAAAACACAGCTAGGAGTGTATTTACAACCCACTCATCCACAAACCTTCCTGAGGGTACATCATGCCTTGAGAAAGTAACTTAATGACCATGTGATGCCTTCATGACCCAGCAGAATATTTAAAAACAAAGCATTGAGTACTTTCAAATTAGCTGCTATAGTTCTCAGTGACATTTATAATCAGGTGCTATTGCATTCAATACTTTACAAAATTTTGCTTTTTTTTTTTTTTTGGCGGGTGGACGGTATGGGGATCCAAACCCATAACCCTGGTGTTATCAGGTTGCCGTCTAACCAACTGAGCTAACCAGCCTGCTCAACAAAATTTCACCACACTCAATGAGGATCATGTAGAAGGCTCTTTTGTGAGGTTTCTGTCCTAACAGAGAAAGATTAAAAGGTCACATATCATATGTGAAAACTTTGCCATTTTGTTGAGATAAAAATGGCCAAAATGATATACAGAAAACAGTAAGGTGGCACACTAAAATGTACTTCTAAAGCATGTGCTGTTGTATGACATTTAGGAAACCTTACTGAAGATCTGAAGAAGCAAGTATTTCAATAAATTTACAATGTGAGAATTTTGTTTTATGACCGACAAGAAGTTCAGATGTCCTAATAGGTCTTGGTTCATGTATTCACCACACTCTGTTTCAGTTTTGAAATCTGTATTTACCTAATGCTGATACAACAGAAGCTTTTAAATACTTTGAGTACTACTCTATGGGTGTACTCAATAAAGATTTATTCTCAGCAGTAAATAACTTCTTAAGTTTATAAGAAAGGTTTATAGAAATTCAGTAAAAATGTAATTGGTGATGCAGTGATGGCCTTGGCAGGAATTAACCGAAGGATGGCTGCACGGTAAGGTCACAGACACAGCATCACGTGTGAAACGAGAGCCCTGCACCATTTATAGGTGAACTTGGGAAAAATAAGTCGAATACAGAAGTGGACAAAGTGCTGTAGAATGTAATTAATATTGTTAACTGAACAGAAATAAAACGTTAAGTATATGGCAGAATGGTTACAACGGCGTGCGTCAACATGGGGGCCGTGGCCACGACGGTCTGTCTCACACCATGTGGAGGTTTATGCTACCTCCAGGCAGAGCATTTTGGAGATTTTGAGTCACAGATGAATGACATAGTACTTTTCAGTGAGAACTGCCCCGAATTTGCTGACCTTTTCTGTGATAACAGAGGACTGCTCCCTCACAGAGAGTTCAAAACAAAAGCCCAGTTCAGATGCTTTAAGGTGAAGACAAAATGATCACATTTCACTTATTATTAACTCAGGTCCATAGTTTACATTGAGGCTCGCTCTGTGTTGCACATTCTATGGGCTTTGACAAGTATGTAATGTCACGTGTCCACTACTACGGTATCACACAGAACAGCCTCACTGCCCTGAATGTCCTCTGTGAGCCCCCTGTTCATCCCTGGGAACCACTGATCTCTTTACTGTCTCCCGCTCTGTGTTGCACATTCTATGGGCTTTGACAAGTATGTAATGTCACGTGTCCACTACTACAGTATCACACAGAACAGCCTCACTGCCCTGAATGTCCTCTGTGAGCCCCCTGTTCATCCCTGGGAACCACTGATCTCTTTACTGTCTCCATGTTTTTGCCTTTTCCAGAATGTCATAGAGTTGAAGGAATGCAGTGCGTGGCCTCTAGGACTGGCGTTCCTCCTTAGTAATACGCGTTTGTTTCCCATGTGACTCTTAGTGACCCGACGCTGCTGTCCTTTTCACTGCCGCACAGTATTTCTTGCACTGATGCACTGTTTATCCGTCACCATCTGAAGGGCATCTCAGTTGCTTCCAGCTTTTGGAAATTGTGAATAAAGTTGCTGTTAACATTTGCACGCAGGTGTTTTTCTTTTTTTGTGGACGTAAGGTTTCAACTCATTGGGTTAAATACCTAAGAGCACAAGTGCTGGATTTTACGGTAAGACTGTTCTCTTGCCAAATTTCTTCTTACTTATAACGTAACATTGGTTTCTTATCAACTATACTGAAATCATATTTCTGAGATATTTCAATTCAGAAATTTGTTCAAAGTTCAGTTGTATTCTTACATCTTATGGTAATGACTTGGGAAAAAATACAACTATAGTTTGCCATGTTTAAGTACTTTTTTCTCTAATAGATCAATGAACCTTTAATTTCACTAAATACGTATCGTGAGATTCACCTTCCCATTGTCACCCGGAACCTGCCTTTACCATAATGTCCTCATTAATATGAAATGTGCTCCAATATATGTAGGCCTGAAAGCACAGAAAGTTCTTCATGTTTGGGTGAAGGTCCCGACGTGTTCAAAGTGTTCGAGAGTCACACGTGCTATCTGGAGAGTGTAAATGGGATGCGGCCACGGCCAGTGGCTGGTCTGCTCCTGTGCGTCTCACACTTGGCTTCCCCGCTGTGCCTGCCCAGCCCTACCCCGTGGGCAGCCGGGGACTGTGCACTGCGCGTCTCGATGCTCATGTGTGCCCGCCTGAAGCCCACGCTGCGCGGCCTGCATGTCCTCATCTCCTCTGTTCCTTCCCTTTGCATTCGGGGCGTCCCTGTTTCTATGGCTGCACCTAACCCAGTGCTTCCAATAGCCGCGCCATAGAATGGTGAGGTTTCCACTCCGTTTTACTTACCTGCTCTCTCTGGGTGAGGTAGGTCCGTGGAGATGACTCCGAGGAGAGGGTGAAGTGACCAGGAGGAGCCCAGTGTGGCAACATCGGATAGAAGAGCAGGCCAGGCCAGGCCAGGGGGCTCAGGTGGGAGCAAGTCTGGTGAATAGGGAGCAAAAACAGGGTTGGTAGCTTGTGGTGAGGACAGGGCTGTCAGAGGGGCTGTGGGGTCAGGCAGGGCCAGGTCGGACGGTCGGCCTTCTCAAAGAGGGTCATGTGGGGAGCTTAGAGGCAGAAACAGCCAATTATCTTTAATCAGCTAATATGTATTAAATTTCCACTACGAGCCAAGTTTCGTACAAACCATATTTCTCATTCTTACAATTGATGGGGTGTCATAGTCTTTACGGTACTGATGAGGCCCCAAATTCATTCTCTTACCCACAGCCACAGAAAAAAGAGCCAGAGCTGGGATCTCGGTCCTGGAAGATCAAACTGCAATGGGCCGGCCGGTGGCGCACTGCTACAGTGCACCGCTTGGGAGTGCGGCGGCGCTCCCGCCAAGGGTTCGGATCCCACATACAGACCAGCCGCTCACTGGCTGAGCGAGGTGCGGGAGCAACACCGAGGGTTGCGATCCCGTTGCTGGTCCCGGTCCGGTACGGGCGCAACACTGAGGGTTGCGATCCATTGCCGGACACGAGAAAAAAAAAAAAAAGATCAAACTGCAAGATCTGCACGCCCCCCCCCCCCCACTGCAGAGCCGGTGAGAGCAACTTGAAAGAGCTGCGGAATGTCTCTGGGTTTCCTCTGGAGATGATTCAAGAAACCAGATACGGACCCATCTGAAGGAAGGCTGAGAACCGACATCCCCAAAACGTGTGGCATCAGTGACAAGAGTAACAGAAACAAATGAGGAGGGAGCTATCGGTATTTTCCTATATCTGACGCATTAGGTATGTACTTAACCAGAAAATGAAAGGTAATAGCTGACATTCTGCGTAAGGCGAAATGCTGCCGTAATACAGGAAAAATAGCTCCCGGCACCATCAGACCAGAAGGCCTAAATAATGAATCACAGTGTGTCCACATCTTACAACTAGGAATAGAATGATCACTGACCTCTGGGTTCTGAGCCACGCTGGGCTGCATTTGGAGTCTTAGCCTTAAATCACAGCAGGGATCCTGCCCGCGTGTCTAGTGCAAAACAGTAAGTTTTCCACTTTTTAAGTTGTAGTGAAAAATTGGAGGAACACAACTTGGCTGACAGTATAAATAAACTGTGCTATTAAAAGGTATTTGTAAAAGGATTTATCTCATTTTTCTCTAAGGATCTTCTCTCTCGACTCATGGAATGGAGGGAAAAGTGTCAACAGTGAGAAACTGCAGATAAACAACCCCAAGGACAGGAGGTGACCCCCTTTGGTCTCCCTAATAATCTCTGCTGCATCCTTTCCATCCTTTCCCTGCCCTGTTGGGTCCTTAGACAGCCAGGTTGGTGGAGCCAAGTGGTCTTTAGCCTGAGACAAGGCCCAACGGCTGGAGCTTCACAGTGAAAAGTCAGAAGAATTGAAAGTGGAGGAGAAATGAAAGGAAGCGGACGAATGCTTTCCTTATCGTGACAATAGCAGTGAAGACGGCCAAGAGGCTGTGGCAGAGGAGTAAGTTACTGTCCCAACTTATTAAGGCCAGGAGTTTCCTTTCTTAACCTGAAGAGCAGTTGCCTGCATGGCTTCATTCCCTAAAAGGGTGCCAGGATGACGCCAGTGCATAACCTCATCAATATTTGAGCTTCCTCGGGTGCATGTGAATTCTTGAAACCCGTGGAATTTAATGAGCAAACTTTCCTCCAGGGACTTACTGTCATGGGTCATGAAAGCTAGAATTGGGCTCTGTTTAATTTGCTTTCCAGGCTACAGGTTAACCAGTGGAGGCGACAGAACTCTCCCAAATCTAGAAAAGGGTAAAAGACACACACCTGACCATGTGTACTCACACTTGAATAGATACACAAACTCACATAGCATATGTTGTACACATCTCTTGCCTACAAAATGCATTTTGACAAGATTATCCTTTTAAGGACTCATTCTAACCACAAAATTTTATGAATATAGATGTCTAGAAAGCTAGGGACCAGGTTACAACAGCCACTCAACTGGATCAACCAAAGTGGAAACATACACACAAACGTACGCTTCCTAAGGCCTTTCATTTATAAAACAAATCCTATTGTACAACTAATATAGTCTAGCTTTAAATCCTATTCTTTAAGGAAAGAATAAAATGGTAAATTGTGTGCATATGTTTTGAAGCTACCTGAAAGACAGACCAGCCTCTGTGTTCCTAACTCCTCTTTCTGAGCCATACTCAACTGTAGGAGTGTTCCCCAAGTGTGCTGGACCACAGCAATCTCCTGGGACACTTGATAAAGATGCAAATTCCAGGGCTTTCCCCCAGATTCTTATGCAGTTAGTCTGTACTGGGACCCAGGAACCTCTATTACTTATTTATTTATTTTTATTGCTTATGGATATTCATGAGATACAAAGCTGATTGTCACCACTCGTGCACAAGATGTGAAGGCCAGATCCATACTGGCAGCATGCCAATTACCACAAACTGTGATTATACCCTGTGTCCCCACCCAATGATCCCCGACCTCCCTCCCCATCCGCCTTTCCCCAACTCCACTTTATATCCCTAGGTATGCTCTCTCCCTCTGCAAGTCCAACGCAACACTGTGGTCTTTCTTTCCTTCCTTCTTTCTCTCTAGCTCTCACTTATAAGTGAGGACATGTGCTATTTATCACTCTGTGCTTTGCTTATTTCACTCAACATAAGTTTCTCTAAGCTCATCCATGTTGTTGCAAATGGGAGAATTTCATTCTTTTTTATGGCAAAGTAGTATTCTGTGGTGATTTTTGTCATGTGTCTCAGGTAATTCCTGCAATTTAAATGATTAGGCAATTCTGGGGGTATCCTGACTTGGTTGACCAGCTGGTAACTCCTGGAAGCCCAGTTACATCTACTTGAATGAAATGAAAGGATGCTTCATGACCACAGCACTGTCCTCTGGAGCTCTGAGTGAGAACTCATTTTGATCTATCTATCACTCTTTCCTTATCACAGGTCTTGGGGGTTTAGGAATTTGCTGTTACACAATCCCTTTCTTAGCCCTTCTATCTCCTCTTAGGTTTATATTCACACTTGTTTCTTGGTTATTTTCATCTGTTTGAAGTTTTCTCTAACCTAACAGTCTATATCACCTGGGATTCAATTGTATTTTACTGGAACCTTCCAGCTGGTTCTCTCTCTCTCTATATATATATGTATATTTAAATTTCTCCTCATTTTCTTAGAGTGGTGTGATTTATGTCACTGTCGTGGATTGAATTATGTCCCCCCAAAACTCATCGAAGCTTGAATTGTGTCCCCCAAGTTTTATGTATTAGAAACTTGGCCCCCACTGTGACTGTTAAGAGGGTGGGAAATCCTATTATGGTGATTGAAAGGTGGGGCCTTGAAGAGGTGATTGGATTGTAGGACCGTGCAGTAGCAAATGGATTAAAAATGGTGGTCAGGGGTGTGGTTCTGAGGGCTTTAAAAGGAGAGGAGAGTCTGTCTGTATGTCTGTCTCTCCCTCTCTCTCTCCTTCCATCATCTTGCAAGGTCAGACCCCCTGGGTCACTGTCACCACCACCAGATGGACTTTGGGCTTCCCAGACTCAGAAACTGTAAGCAATAAACTTTGTTTTTCTTTAGAAATCACCCAATTCCAGGTATTTTGCTATAAACAATAAAAACTGACGAATACAGTCACTATGTTTGGATTTCAAAAATGTTGTCTCAATCACTTTACTTGATACCACCTTTAATTATGTTATGCTGAAACAATGACCATTTGTTTCAGTTTTACAGCCTTAGCTTCGGTGTCTAGCGCTCCCTTAGATATCACCACTCTCCATCGCATGGGTGTGACCTTGACTAATTTACACTGGAAAATGAAGGCAGAGATCAGGGCAAAGCATTATAAACGTCACCTGGGGGGGGGGGGCAAGAGCTACATTTAATCATCGTATAAAACGTTACAGTGTACGCCTGTGTGCACTTGATTTGATCTGCCCAGTGGCGATATGAAGAGGTTTAAGTCCTCAGCCTCGACAATCTTACATTCTAACTGCAGAGGTTAAGACATGGACATAATTTTTTTAAAATATAGTATTTCTTTCAGAACGAGATTATTCCTAAATCAGATGAGGATCCCCAAAGTAACATCTGTCTCAGTCGCTTGCATCAAACGTGTTCTGCCTCCCTCGCCAACGAGTTCTCCAGGAGGTGACTTCTTTTCTAAACGTGTATCTATGCTTATTTTAAATGTTTTCTCACAGTCACATTCGCACGGGGATATGAAAGACTTGCCACTCTACAAAACGGTATTAACACTATTTCCCAGTAAAAGACACGGCAGGAAGCTAATCGAGAGGAAGGAACCAGCCATAGGAAATTTAAAAGGTAAACCAGGGTAACCCCTGTCCTTTCGGGTTGTCGGGGAATTTAGGAAGTAGTTGGAAGTGAGAGGAAAGGGGTCGTTATCTCCGTGGGGCCCACGAGGTGCCCGTGGGGCTGCGATGGCCGGAGTGTGTGGCTCAGAGGGGCTTAAATCAGCGCCGCTGCTGCCCACTGCGCACGCGCCGGACGGAGCCGCGTGTCCCAGAGCGCCCCCTGCGGGCAGTGCCGGTACTGCAGGACGCGCGCCGCCCATGAGCCCCAGAGCGCCCCCCGCAGGCAGTGCCGGCACTGCCTGCGGGGGGCGCTCTGGGGCTCATGGGCGGCGCGCGTCCTGCAGTGCCGGCACTGCCTGCGGGGGGCGCTCTGGGGCTCATGGGCGGCGCGCGTCCTGCAGTGCCGGCACTGCCTGCGGGGGGCGCTCTGGGGCTCATGGGCGGCGCGCGTCCTGCAGTGCCGGCACTGCCTGCGGGGGGCGCTCTGGGGCTCATGGGCGGCGCGCGTCCTGCAGTGCCGGCACTGCCTGCGGGGGGCGCTCTGGGGCTCATGGGCGGCGCGCGTCCTGCAGTGCCGGCACTGCCTGCGGGGGGCGCTCTGGGGCTCATGGGCGGCGCGCGTCCTGCAGTGCCGGCACTGCCTGCGGGGGGCGCTCTGGGGCTCATGGGCGGCGCGCGTCCTGCAGTGCCGGCACTGCCTGCGGGGGGCGCTCTGGGGCTCATGGGCGGCGCGCGTCCTGCAGTGCCGGCACTGCCTGCGGGGGGCGCTCTGGGGCTCATGGGCGGCGCGCGTCCTGCAGTGCCGGCACTGCAGGACGCGCGCCGCCGCGGTGAGGCGAGCGCAGGGACGGACGCCGGGACGATACGTAGTGTGACAATGTTAAAAGGGGGCAGAGACCGAGGACAGAAGTTCCTAAGCAACCCTCATCTAACGCGCAGCCTTCACCAGGCTCGGGCTCGTGCCTTCTGCTTCGTGGACACTCTGACGTTCGGTGCACCGGCCCCGTTCCACAAAGGAGGGACTTCGGGCTCAGGGTCAGGTAGCCTGCTGGGGTCACGTCAGCGGCGGCCCGGGGACTGCAGATCCCGCATGCACCGTATGCAGTTTTCCCGCGGCTGTGCCAAGACGTGGTCACAGGCCTCTCTGCTCCCCAATATGGAACAGGGACAGGGTTTCCCAGTGCACACAGCCCAGGCCCTGGCCTGGGGTCACTTCCCAAGTGGCAGAGTTAGGAACTTCGAGCATCTGGCCCCAAGTCCTGCTCCCAGAGGTGGAGGTCGGGGAAGCAGGGCTCATGGGGACTGCTTCAGGGCCCCGGTCCCCTACAGCGCCGGGTGGGGGGCTGAGAAACCCGTGCGTTGTATAGAGCCCACGGAAGCAGGGTCCCCTAGGAATTAGGGTGAGCGGAGCTGGTAGCAACCAACACTCAAACTGGGTCCTTTTTCCTCAACAAAGAATGCACACGTTGCGCCAGAGCTGCTCAGGTGTCTTTCTGGATCTGCAAGGAGGGCACTGGGTCGTTAGGAGGAAGGCGGACTCCTTCTGAGCTGGCCTCGTTCAGAGAGAAGGCGGCCTCCTCTTCTCCAGAAAGCAGCTGGACCACCCCAGGACGCTTCCCCCGAGGAGGTTTAGCAGAACATACACCGGGAAAAGCCTGCAGATTCTTGCAGCGGAGGAGTGACTTTCTTGGTCATTTGCAGGGAAAAGTGTCTCCCTCATTTAGTGACCAATTCAGGCCCCGGCTATTAGCATTTGAATCAGGCAGCCATGCTGTTTCGATTGAAAAGAGAAGCCAAGCCTTTGTTGTTGCAATTGTAGGGTGTGAGTAATTTTCCAGCATCCTTTAATCAGTTCGAATAGTTGGGGAAATGGCAACATATAGGAAAAGTGTGTTCTAGCCTTGAAAATGCAAATACGATGCCTGGTCCCAGGCTTCCCCACGTGGGCCCTTGATCCTACCTGAGGCTCCGTGGGATCTGCTAGGCTCCCTTGGCCGGCTGTCCTTTCAATCAAAACCTCATTAAGTGTCTTCAAAATATTCTCTTTATTTGTATTAAACCAATTCTAATCATTATGGAAACACAGCAGGGCTGGATCGAAACGCTAATGGTCAAAGCCTTCTCTCCCATCAGCGGGTCCATATTTCTCGCACACAAGAGGAGCCAAAAGGTGGAAGATTTGCAGCCAATGCAGGGATAAGATCCAAGTACCGTAACACTTCACCCTTGGTGAAGTTGAGGTCCCTTTGGAGGGCAAGAGGTACTTGAAGTAGTTTACAGTGTTTGATTTACATGCTTAGGAGACATCCTATTCACTTTTTAAGGTGAGAAACACTGCAAAATTTTAAGTTTAAAAAAGGTGGAAGACCAAGTTTTCAAATATCCTGCTTGCTTTTTTCCCCTTTAGATTGCATTGTGTTTTCTTATGTCATGTACATAGAAACATAAAGATTTAGAGTTTTTAAAAACACAGATGACTAGGGAAAACCCATTAAGAAAAACGTCTTTGGAAGAGTTGACGTGTCTGTGCCAAACTCATAGTTCATAGAAGTTTGTTAACTTTGTTCT